AACAACAACAAAAAACTACTGCACGCGAATATCCACCAGGCCCCCCATTGTACCCGACGCGTCCTGGTTGATGGGGTAGGTGGGAGGGCAGGTAACCCGGGGAAGTCGGGGGGGGGGTGGGGGGAGACAAACTATTTGTCTCATCATTTACATGGAAAATACACCCGTGGGCGGGGGGTAGCTGTGTATGTGTAAGTAAAAGGGAAAAAGGGGGAGATGTGTTTAAAATACAGGTGGGGAGTTGTGGGGCTGATTCTAACACCGTCTGCGGGAAAAGGAGGAGGCGAGGCCGCGTCGCTAATGGGGGGGGGGGGGGGGGGGCTCGCGACGGCCGTGTCGGAGCAGTTTGTCATCGCTGCTGAATTCCCGACTTCAAATCCAGGCACGGAACGTCGTGGTTACCGCAGCTCGGCTCCCAGAGATGAACTTCACCGGCCGATTGACCGAGGGGTGAACCGCTCGTCGCAGCCGGGTTTCTCCTTTCTCGGGGCTCATCGGCAAAGCCGGGTGTTGATTAAACCACGCAGGGATGTTTCGCGAGTGACAACCCCCCCCTCCACCTCTCCCGGCGTGGGACGGGCCTGGGGTCCGCACCCGACCCGTGACTTTAATTCCGCGTGGCCCGTGCCCACCGCGAGGGCCTTCCACTCCGAAGCGGGCTGCGCGCAATGTCTTATCCGTCGCTGCCAGCGTCGTAGCATCACCAATCGGGTACCGGAGGGGAGTGTTGTAGGACCAGGCAAAAGACCGCGTTGGTAAAATTTCGCTCGGTCGTATCTGTCACCGCAATGGCCTCTTTGTGCTCGGTCAACGCGCGCGTTGTAATTCTGCGTTGTCGTTGGATGACACTGAGGTGCGCGTGCGTGCAGTGGTAAGTGTGGTTGCCCGCAAAGGCGTTTGCAAGTCCTGTTCTACCCTTGCGAGGAAGACGATTCTCCCAAGCGAAGGGCACCTGTCGATAACTACACGCGTTCATGAATTCTGAACCGAATAATCATTATTTGTTTGCAAGTGAATCGACAAACCTCGATTAAAAGCAATCATCTTGGCAGTTTGTTATATCACAACAAATACGACGATAATAGCAATCGCAATAAGAACAATAAATCCCAATTCTTTTGCTCCCGGGAAAATCGCGCACCACCTTTCGATGGCCTCGGAGTGACGGAGCACACCACAATCGCAGTGTCGCGTGTCCACGCTCCCACGGGCCACCAGCGCGCCCCTGTCACCGTCACGACCCCCACAGCCCCATCGACGCGGCGTGGCGCGGCGTTAATCAGCTGTGCGGTGCGCTTGCTCCCAGTTGGAGGAGGGCGTGGAGGGCGGGTTGGTAATTCAGAAAATGATGTTTTTTTCGGTATTTTTAGAAACTTGCTTTCTTTCGGGGTTTCAATTTGCACCTTGGGTTCATTTTGTGTTTGTGAGTTGAGAACTTGTCACTTCCATTACGTGGGGAAATCTGGGGAGAATAAACATCGCGAGAGACGCCGTACACGCACGCACACATACCAGGTTTAAAATGACAGGCTTTTTGGGAAACACGTGTGTGTGTGTGTGGGGAGCTGTTGTAGTGTAGCAGGGTAGCACACTGCGCTACAAACCCGGCAACACAAGTTTGATTCCCGCTCACAGCCACCAACACCAGTGAAAATTATCTGAACCGGTCCTGGGACTCCCCTAGGTTGACTCAGCCTCAAATGAGTACCTAAAGTGGTGTGTAAACATCAGCACAGGGGGGATAAAGGTGGCTGAGTGTGGTGCTAGCCACCCACCCCCTTGTGTATTGTGCTGACCTTCATAGGTGCTCACTTACAGCTCCTGTCTCAACAGCCTGTTCAGGCTATACGGGGATCTTTGTCGTTCGTGGATGTCCGGAAGGGGTAGAGGGTGAATGGCTTTTAACTCGCTGTGAACCGGGTTCAATTCACGGACATGGATGGCGCAATGTCAAACCTAAACCTACTGTTATCATCATCGTAGTCATCATCGCAATGTACAAGGCGATCGATATTTAGATGCTTCACAGATTTGTAACGGCCCTCCTTGTATGCATGTAGGTTACACTTCTTTCGCACCGTGCATAGCCGACCGTGCTTATCGGAGCCAACCTCTTTGCTGCGAAAGTGATGCCTTGCGTAGGTAGGAAAGTGTTCAGAGATTGAATGCGAGCATTCAGATTGGTGGGAGACATGTAGAGGAGTTCACGAATGTGTAATTTCTCTGTAATTGGTTCCAATTATTTGAGTGGGTTATTATCGTCAATAAACGCCACATTCATGGACCCAGAGGGGCAAGAGTACGTGGCTCATAGGCTGCAGCAGTGGTGCCGGTACATCGTGTAGGACATGGCCTCATGGCACAGGGGTCATCGTGCCAAGCCAGCTTAGAATCTTGGGTTCGAACACCGGTTTCTGCCACTGCCTGTGATGCGACTGGGTTCTCTAGTGTAGTGAGTTGATGGTCTTCCAGTAACCACTGTGGGCTATATTTCATCTCTGAGAATTAACATATCTGGAACACTCTTCCTTCCGATATTAGGAAGCCAATGGAGTTGTGCACTTTTAAATGTAGATTGAAAACTCACTTTTTAGACCTGCTTTTTGTATTTAGTTTGTTGTCCTTCCCCTGCAACGTACGGTGCGACAGAAGCTCTGCATTCATACGTATTCATTTTGTGAATGTCACGAACGCAATCATTACTCTCTGTGGTCAGGAGGGTAGGAAAGTGCTGCCCCCCACAGTGCGAATCAGAGGCGACTGGAAGGGATGTCGGAGGTAGCTCTGCAGCGTCCACTTCCGCAGGAAGAGTCCGCGCTCCTGTGCGAGAGATCCGAACGGATCCTGCCGTCCTGTGGCCACGTGATGCCGCCAAAACGAACGATCGGGTCAATGTCGGGGGCGGGGGTTGGGGTGGGGGGAGAGACAAAAAAAGAAAATAAGCAAAAGCCCCGGTGCGTCGTGCACTGCAGCAATGGGCGCGACGCGTGCACGAACACGCACGCCGAGAGAATGCTGAGCGAGTGCCTCCCACCCCCTTCAACTGCGTGCAGGCAGCGTGCAGGCAGCATGCAGGCTTTAAAAAAAAAAAACACCTGCAGAGGCGCCTGAACAGAATTTGTAAGCAGCATCCGGGCCTAGGAACTGCAACGGTCAAATTAACGAAGTAAACACTCGTTGTCCGCACCCATGACTCACGGCGGGCACTCGCTTTAAAAGTAGGGCATGTCATCAGTCCTTCTGGCCAGGATGCAGCGCAGTGGGCGGATAGCAGCGGGGGCCTGCCAGTTGCGAACGTGCGGGCTCACGTCCCAGCCGGGGTCAACTCTGCATTGTCATCTTCATGATCATCCCCAGGATATTACCATTGCCGTCGTTATCTTTGTCGTCATCATCATCATTATTATCTCCGATTTAACACGTAGGCCCCCCCTGGTCAGTCAGTGAAATTGGCACTGTCAGGAAAAGCTGCCGCCTTTGGTGCGAGTGTAAAAGCGATCGTTGTGTTAAGATACGTGAGTGGTCTCTGCCATAGGAACGTGGACATTCCATGACAGATTCAGGACCGATATTGAGCATGACCACCACACATTGCGGGAGCACTTTTATTTTTTTACACTGCCATGGTATTTGGGGTTCTCATTATCCGCTGCTAGATGAAGACTCCGCTGGCCAGGGGTTCACGCTGCACCCCTCAGCCCGGTGCCTCCCTCGGCTGTCGTAACTTCGCTAGTCTTGTCCGTCAGCGAACGAGTAAATTCTTTAACTCAATTTATTTCACCAGGAAATGACCAACTGAGCTATGGGGCTCTTTTTCAGATGCAACTGGGCCATCACGAATGATAGGAAAACTTGTTGTTGTTGGCCTATCGTGTAGAATTGTAAAGCAGCCAAATATTCTAAATGCGCGATGTCGATTCTAAATGTGGTGGGAAAAACCTGAGGACCCGGAGAAAAATCCATGCGACCACGGGGACAGAGACACACAAACTCTAAATATACAGCAGGCGTCAGAGTCGGGATCAAACCCACTACCTCATGTATACCATGCGAGGTAGTTAACATCTCCTAGCCACCGTGATGATGATGAGAGAGAGAGAGAGATACCGCAAACTCCAAATATACAGCAGGCGTCAGGGTCGGGATGGAACCCATGACCTCCTGTATACTAGGCGAGGTAGTTAACATCTCCTAGCCACCGTGGCGCCCCACCGGATGTATGTTCTCTGCTCGTGACCCCCCGTCGCAATAAATGCGCATGTTTTTCATCGTTGCGCAACGTCTCGGATTCCCGCTCTGGAGGATGAACCTTCACACGCTCCGTGTTCCCGCCCTTCCTTCCGGGGCTTTCATCGTTTTTGTCTTTTTAAAAGAACGCGGGCGGGCGTGCATAAGCGCTTGCATGCGCGTGGAAGGGCGCGCGTGTGCGTCACTGCCCGTCAGACGTGTTGCGTGCTCCGAATCGGCTTTCTCTCTTCGTCTCATGTGTATTTGTCTTAACGCGACGCCCGGGTGTGCGATGGGGCATGACCGTTGAAGAATTCGTCGTACAAAAATCTATTTTCTAGTGAATGAATGAGGCTTACAGTGGCGGGGGTGGGGAGGTCTTTTGTTTTAAATGTGTGTTCGTCCTGTATGTTGATAGGACAATTGCCGCAACTGCGTGTGGGTTGGCGGTGGGGAAAAAACGGTATGCTGTGCGCGTGCACGCGTGTGCACATACGTGTGTGTGTGTGTGTGTGTTTGGAGTTCGATTCCCAGCCGTGGCTAATGGTACCCGAACTTTCCCTGGGGCCTATCCACAATTGACTCGGCTTCAAACTAGCACTTGACGCGGTGTATACATTTCAGCACCGGGGATACGAAGGTGGTCGGGCTTGGCCGCTGGCCGGCACTACCGCGTCATCTTAACCGGTGCTCGCGAACAGCGCTTTGCCCTGACGATTCACAAGTCTAAACGGGATGCGAAACCTTTGGTGTTGCTGTCTCCGCGTGCGCAGTGGAGGTGAGCCAGTCCCTGTCCACGCAACCCAACCTCGGCCTCCGCGCCCTCTCCTCCATGCCGGGCGTCGGGGGGGTCCTCGCCTCCGCGGGGGGCAGCAGCGGCGAAACCGGGATGGGCAGGTAGCGGTGGCGGCGCCATCGTCATCATCGGTGCCGAGCTGCCCTCCTCGGCGGCATCTTCGCCACCCCAGCAGCAGCAGCAGCAGCAGCAGCAGGCGCAGCCGGCGACCCCGGGTGGCCTCCCGCACGAGCAGGACCTGCAGCACGAACTGCAGGCGCTCAAGCAGCAGCAGCAGATCCAGAAACAGCTGCTGCTCGCCGAGTTCCACAAGCAGCAGGAGCAACTTGCGCGACAGCACGAGGCGCAGTTGCAGGAGCACATCAAGGTGGGCGCCAGGGTGAGAGTGCCTCTGCCCCCCCCCACCCGCCCGCCTGTTCGGCCCACCCACCCCTCGCTCGGAATCGGAATCTTGATTCGTCCTGGAGGAATCCGATGAGCTGTCCAGTAGGGGCCCGCGCTGAACTTCTTTTTTCAGCAGGTTTCACCCAGAAAATTATTATCTTTTTCTTATTTTCCATGTGTTTGGTCCCACTGAGTTGCGTAGCTCTTTTTCAGGAGCGACCTGGCCATTACAAGTGACAGCTCAACAAAGTGGATCGTCGTGTGGAAATTTAGAGCAGTAGCCAAATACTCTAAACGTGTGATGTCGATTCTAAATGTGGAGGGAAAAACGGGAGGACACGGAGAAAAATCCGGGTGACCACGGGGATAGAGACGCGTAAACTCCAAATATACAGCAGGCGTCAGGGTCGGAATCTAACCCACGACCTGCTACATAGCAGGCGTGATGGTTAACGTTTCGCTACCATGGCATCCCTGCTTCATCCACCCACCCGTCTTAGCTGTGGCGGGCAGTGAAGGTGTGGAACGTGCGTGCCACACGCTAACAAGAGTGGAACCCTGAGCAGGCTTCTCCTGGAGCACTAAGCCCAGCTGCTGCTGGTCTCGATGCCGTGGGAAAACTTAAGAGGGGAGACACGGCGCAGGCTCCGTGCAGGCCCTGGTCCTAGCGCCCTTCACGAGGGCACGGTACTCGAAAGATTTGCAGCTTTTGTTCGGTCCGTCTCCTTCGCTGACGCGTGCGTGCGTCTGTGTGTTTGTGTGTGCCCTTGCGTGTGTACGCGCGCACGTGCGCCCGTGTGCGTGCGTCCCCTCCCCTCTCCCACCTCATCCCCCCGCTCCTCCCCCGGTCCCTCGGAGCAGCAGCAGCAGATGATGGCGCTGAAGCGGCAGAGGGAGATGCTGGAGGCTCAGCGGAAGATGGAAGCGGCGCGTGAGGCCGAGCTGCAGGAGAAGCAGCGGCGCGAGCAGCACCTGCAAGCGCTCAAGTACAAGGAGAAGGGCAAAGAGAGTGAGTGTGAGCGACGGGGCGGCTCGCCACGGCTGCGTTGCCGTGGTAGTGGCAGTGCGGAGCTCCGAGGGAGCACCTTGAGATCCTGGCAACCTGGGCTAGATTCCCGGTGACGGCGAACATTGGTGCCGAGTGATACCTGAATCGGTTCTGAGCCTTTCCATCGTTCGGTTTGGTGTGTAAACATCAGTGATGTTTATATGTATGTTGAACTTGTTTCGCGCCGTACGTAGCCAACTGCGCTAATCGAAGGTGCGGGGGAAGTATAACAAACTAACACACACACAAAGCAGTTCTAAAAAAATGAGTTTTCAATCTAGATTTAAAAGTGCATAGCTCCAGTTGCTTCCTAATAGTGGCTGCAAGTGGCTTCTTTGGAGACAAAGGCGGTCGGGCGTGGTGCTTACCACCCACCCCCTCGTGTGCCGTGCCAGCCTTCATAGGTGCTACTCTCTAACGGCACTTGCTTCTACAGTCTGTTAAGGCTACACGAGGGATCTCTATCTTTGTGTGGCGTCTCAGGCGCCGTCGCGAGCTCGGAGGTGAAGCAGCGCCTGCAGGAGTTTGTGCTCAACAAGCGGCAGCGCGGCCCCACCATCACCCCCAGCACGGGCGCCATCAACCACACGCTGCCGCACAACCAGCGCCTGTGGCTCGCGTGAGTTTGTGCGAGTGTGTGTGCGTGTGCGTATGTGTGTGCGCGCATGTGTCTGTATGTGTGGAGCGGCGGTGCAGCTGTTAACGTGGCCACCACAACACCAGTGACAATTATTTGAACTGGTACCTGGGCGACTCAGCCTCAAATGATTGCTTGGTGCGGTGCGTAAAATCATCACCACTGGGGAGACAAAATGTGCCGTTCCAGCCTTCTAGCTAAGAGCACTTGCCCCAACAGTCTGTTCAGGCTGTACGGGGGATCTTTGTCATTGTTTGTTTGGGGGTGTCTGTGTGTGTGCGTGGAGGTGTGTAATAATAATAATTTACAGCTCTTTGTCAATACATTGTCGGATTGGACTCCCCAAACATGGAGCTTGTTTGATCATACTTCACCGCGCACCGCCGCTGACTCGCCGCGTTGCTCTCGCGCCCCTGCCCCCCCCCCCCCCGTGTCTTTTGCCGACAGCGTGGCACAGCACGGCTCTTTTGAGAACAGCTCGCGGCCGGGCGGCGTCACCCAGCTGTGCCAGCACCCCGACATCGGCAACTACGAGTCCAAGGACGACTTCCCGCTGAGAAAAACCGGTGAGACCCGGCGGCCGGCCCACAGCGGCGGCAACGCTTCGAAAGCCATGTCGGCCGTGGTGGCCGAATAATTAAAATTGAGACCTTCCTTTCGTTAGTTTTCGGCAATGGCCGGGCTTCCGATCTCGAGGTTGCACGATCGATCGCTCAGCAATGCGCCCCCGTCTTTGTCCAACAGTATAAATGGGTCAGGTGGGGTAAAGTGTAACTCCTGTCTCTTCCACAAATGTAAGTCCTTCATCGAGAGAGGAGGCCAGTATCCTCGAGAGAGAGAGAGTTAGAGTTAGGGGCTGTCCAGAGTCCCTTCCGCCAGCAGTGGCTTGAGTGAGTAAATCATTTCTGGACTGCACTTTTCATTTAAAGGGAAACACGTTTTCGGGTGCACCGCACACACGATTCTGTGCGCTCCACGCTCGTGCCGTCTCTTGGGTTTCATAAAAAAATTATTTTGGTTCAAAACTTGCTGATGTCTTCCCACCCCCCACCCCGCCAACGACGCAGCACGACGCCGTTTCGTCAATAAATACATCTGGCGCTGCGTGCTCCTTGCTTTCAAATAAACATTATTTTAATATTTTTTTTCTTCTTCCCCCCTACGCTGCTGTTCTCGTGCCCACGTGTGTGGCAGCGCTCGCTCTGCCGCCCGCCAGAGAGCCGCTAGTCTCTCCGGGCGCCCCACCCGCGGCCTCCCCCGCTCGGCTGTCCACGCCCACGTTTAGACAACGCGCCTGGGACAGGAACTCAGACGTTTCGAAATAATTACGTGTGCCGTATAGACGGCCCTGCCCCGGCCCTGCCCCGGCCCTGCCCCGGCCCTGCCCCGGCCCTGCCCACACCTCCACACGTAGCCATGTGGACCACAGTGCTTGGGCATGTGTGGGTGGTTAGTCTGGCCCAGTGACCCGAGTTTGATATCTAGTCCTACACGTAGTGGATATACTTTCGCTGCTCGTAAATAATGATATGGCACCCATAATTCCACCGGGAGTCCATGCAGAGCAGCAAATCTTCGGTTTCAGCTAATTGAAACAGGCAGTTAGCGGAGATGCCACCGGACTATCGGGGACCTGGGTTCGCATCCAGGCTCACGCTCTCTCGTGTGTTGTTGGTGTGCCCACCCCCCCGCGATGGTGCACAGCGTCCGAGCCGAACCTCAAGCTGCGCTGCCGACTCAAGCAGAAGGTGGCGGAGAGGCGGAGCAGCCCCCTGCTGCGGCGCAAGGACGGCACCGTCGTCACCACGCTCAAGAAGAGGCCCATGGACGTCACAGGTGCGCGCGAGTGTGTGCGTGCGTGTGGTAAAGTGCACATAGCCTGGCACAAGTGCCATGGTGACGTCACCGCCACCTAGTGGCGAATGGCGGGTGTTGTGCATGTGTTTGCGAGTGTGTGCGGGTACGTGTCTGTGTGTGCGTTTACATTGTGTGTGTGTGTGTGCGAGTGTACATGAGTGTCTCAGTGACGATTATCTGAACCGGTCCTGGGCCTCCCTTAGGTTGACTCAGCCTCAAATAAGTACCTGGTGCGGTGCGTAAAAACATCGGCACTAGGGAGACCAAGGCGGCCGGGCGTGGTGCTGTCAACCCACCCCCTCGTATGCCATTCTGGCCTTTATAGGTGCTCGCTAACAGCACTTGCTCCTACAGTCCGCTAAGGCTATACGGGGGATCTTTGTATTTTGTGTGTGCGGGTGGGTAGGCGGTAGTGCGGTGGTTAGCACGTAGATTCCCGCTCGCAGTCAACAGCAGTGACTGTTTTCTGAACCAGTCATCGGCCTCCCCTAGGTCGACTCAGTCTCAAATGAGTATCGAGAGCGATGTGTAAACATCGCCACTAGGGAGACATTGGCGGCCTTCATAGGTGCTCGCGAACAGCACTTAAACTGGATGCAGTGTATCCAGCGCACATCAGCACTGGGGAAACAAAGGCGGCCGGGCATGATTCTCGTCGCACCACCCCATCGAGCGCCTCGCTGGCCTTAGCAGTTGCCAGGTGACGGCACTTGCCCCAACAGTCTGCATGGCTATATGGGGACCTCTGTCTTTGTGCGCGTGTGCGTGCAGGCCCCACGGTGTGCAACAGTGCGCCGGGCTCAGGGCCCAGCTCCCCCAACAACAGCTCCAACAACATCACGAACGAGAACGGCACCATGGGCTCCATCCCCAACATGCATGCCGAGGTAGCGGCCCTGCCCACACCTACACACGTAGCCATGTGGCCCACCATGTGCGGGCACGTGTGGGTGGTTAGTCCGGCCCAGTGACCCGAGTTCGATTCTCTGCTATAGCTAACGTCAGTCGTGTGAGATATCTAGGATGTTGTGATTTGTGACCATTGCCACTGGGGAGACAAAGGCGGCTGGGGATAGTGCTGGCCACAACCCCCACCCCGTTTTGTGCCGTGCCAGCCTTCGTGGCCGCTCGCTTTCCCCAACAGTCTTGAAAAGCTTTACAGGGGATCTTTGAGTGCTGTGCGCAAAGTATCCACAGTGGTGTGTTATCATCACCTGATGAGTAACACACTAATGAATGTAAACGACAAGTAACAAACTGCAATGGGATAGACATTGATAATTGGTTTTTTACCCTTTTATCTGGCAACAAAACTGACACCTTTTTTTTTTTTACAAGGAGTCATGTTTGCATAGACCAGAATACCTGCAGTCATAATGCAAAAAAAAAACATAACTCTGATAATGTCTGCACTGTCCTTGAAGTTGATTGGTCCACACACGAGACAGCTTTCCTTAGAGCCTAGTCTCACATGGTGTTGGACCAGATGACGCCAAAAGGCGCACAACTCAAAGACAATGCACCATCAGGGTATGAGAGCTCGGGTCAAGCATTTACACCATTGGAACCTCATTTGCCAGAAGAAAAAATATGATAATTGGTTTTTTACCCTTCTCTCTGGCAACATGATAGACATTTTAAAACGTGTTGGCGGATCGTGACGCGTAACGCTCACAAGGTTCACCCTAACGCAGAACGCTCGCTTTTAGCCGCGGCTCGTGCACCGGGCATCACTCTCGCGGCAATGCGAAAATACTTGCGCAGCACCGTTTAGCACCGACACATTTCTCTGCCATTACAATTCCTGTCGAGACCTCGGTGATGGCGACAGCTTGGGGAGAGGCTTCCAGTTTAGCCGAGGGAGGATAACCACTGGTGCTACTTGAATGTATCGGTCCGGGAGGCCTGCGATTCTGAGTTTGATCTCTGGCCAGGATTTGAACTGGGAACCGTCTAACTTGCGAGACGAGTGATCTCCTGACCCTCATCGCCACCAGGTGGGATCCGAATTGTCACTGGTGGTGTATTTGTCTTTACCTTGTCATTGACTCTCCCTCTCTCCTCGCTCTCTCTCTTTCGCGCTCTCCCTTTCCTCTCTCCCTCTCTCTCTCCCCCTCCGTCTCCGTGTCTCTGCGCCACCAGCACCCGATGCTGTCTCCTGAGCGGATGCTGACGCGCGATGGCAGCACCCTCACTCAGATCAGCCTCTACACATCGCCCTCGCTGCCCAACATCTCGCTGGGGCTGCCCGCCACGGGCGCCGCCACTCCACACGTGGGTGCCACACCCGCGCACGCACGCACAGCGCACGCACACGCACGCACACACACGCACGCACGCAAGACGTACAGGTGCAGCCCTGCGATTGCCTGCTCATGCCACCGCTGGCGGATGGGCCGGAGCTAGACATCCCCTCCCCTTTCCAGAGGATGTTTGGACGACTCGTGCACACTGGCCAGGCTGATGTTAGCCGTGGCTATGAATTGAACTCGGCTTTGCCGGGTTTGTAGCACAATGCGCAAACCTCTGCACCACCGCGCTGTCCGCAATAAAACATGCGCACATGCACGTGCCTAGACCCCCCACAAACACACGGTGCGTGTGCTCTGTCCCCCCCCGCTTCAGAGGAACTCAGATTTCCACCACAATGTGGGAGGCTTGCAATCACCTCCCTCCCTTTTACTCGGGTAACTGCCGCCGAATAGCCGACCGTAACGTTGTGAAAGTTATTTTTGTGGAATAAATGTACGTGAGCAGCTTGAAGCTGCGCGGTGTGCGTGCCATGACGTGAATGCAGATCACTCGGAGCGGAGTGGGGGCAGCGGTGGAGAGAGCGAATCGCAGTATGTGTACGTGTGTGCGCGTGTATGCCTTGTGTGTGTCTGTATTTGTGCTTATGTACGCGCGTGTGTGTGTCTGGGTTGACTCGTCCTCAAATGAGTACCTGGTGTCGTGTGTAAACATGGGGAGACAAAGGCGGTGAGGTGTAGTGCTGACCACCCACCCCCTTGTGTACCGTCCAGGCTTTTTTTATAGGTGCTCGCTTATAGCACTTGCTCCAATAGCATGTTAAGGCTATATGGGGGATATGTGTCTTTGTTGTTTGTGGGTGAATGGGGAGCGGTAGATTAGTGGTTAGTGCGTTACGCTACAAACCCGGCGACCCGAGTTCGATTCCTATTCGTGGCCAACACGATTTTCCAAACCGGTCCTGGGTCTCCCCTAGGTCGACTCAGTCTCAAGTGAATACCTGGTGTGGGGCGTGGTGCTGGCCACATCACCACCTTGTGTGCCATGCCGACCTTCATAGGTGCTCACTGGCAGGACTCGCTCGTACAACCATGTATGTGTGTGGTTCTACTTTTACAACGTCTCCTCCTCTCTGTCACCCCCATCCCTCTCCCCCCCCCTCTCACTCCGCTGCTGCTGACGCGATTGTCTGGCTTGACAGCCTGATTGTGAAATTGTAGTCGTTGCTCAGCGTCTACAGCAGCCGTACGAAAATAAGAAGATGACTCTCCTTCAATCCTCCGTCTTCCTGTCTCTACACTCACCTACCTACTCACCTCCCTACTCATCTACCTACTTACCTACCCCCCCCCCCATCTCCTTCTGTCCTGCGATCGCTCGACTACGAACCCCCTTAACTCCTTAAGGGGGTGCGGCACCGCGGTGGCGACATGTTATCTCCCTCACCTGGTATGCAGGAGGTCGTGAGTTCCATCGCGACCAACACGCCTGCTGTATGTTTGCAAATTGTTCACCCCGTGGTGGCGTGGATTTTTCCCCCGGGTCTTCCGTTTTTTCCCTGCACATTTAGAATCGTGCCTTTAGGGTATTTGGCTGCTATAAATTTCCACACGATGAAAAGCCACTTCGTTGAGCCATCATTTGTGATAGCCAGGTCACTTCTGAAAAAGAGCTACACATCTCAGTGGGGCCTTGCCTGGTAAGACTAAAATTCGTATTTTTTTCTGCCTAACCCTCGACCCCAACTCTCTGACCCTGGCAGATGGCGGGGAGCCTGGCGGCGCAGCACGAGGCGGAGCGGCACGCCGTGCTGGGCATGCGCGGTGGCGCCGCCGGCGCTCAGTTCGTGGGCAGCGTCCCCTTTCTGCCACGCCACGACGGCAACGCGGGTGCCGCCACCCTGCAGCAGCAGATCCTCCTGCTGGAGCAGGCGCGCCTCGCCGGTCCGTAGCGCGCACGCACACACGCGCACACACGCGCACACGCAGGTCAAGTGCCACCACCTGTACCGCACACATACACACACACACACACCAAGCGCCACCACCTATACCACACACACATACATGGATTTAACATAGCAGGCACATGGCCACTTTGTCTTCCTTGTGTGCATGCGTATGTCTAACCAGCAGTTCATATGTCCATCCATCTGTGTTTCTCTGGATGTCTGTCTGTCTGGTCATTTGTCTCATCTGTCCATCCGTCTGCATGTGTCCGTCTCTTGTTCCGTATATCTGTTCGTCTGTCCGTTTATCTTTCTCTCCATCTGTCAGTCTGATTGTCCATCCAACTGTCCATTTGCCTATCCGTCCATACATCTGTGTATGTCCACTTGTATGTCTTCCCATTCGACTCTTCGTCCCTCCATTATCTTTACCCATCTATCCATCCGTCTCCCTCCCTGTCCGTCCGCCTGCCCGTTTATCCGTTGGGCCATCTCTTCTCTCACCCCGCGTGCCCGTCTATCCGTCGTCTCGGTCCGCCCGCCCGTCCGTGATCCCCGTCTCTTGCGCCCACTCCACCGCAGGTCTCGGCGGCGTGACGCCCCACCCGCAGTCGCCGCTGGCGCTGGGCGGCTCGCCGACGCTGCGCCGCACGCCGGCCAAGATGGGGCGGCACCAGCCGCTGGGGCGCACGCAGTCGGCGCCGCTGCCGCAGAGCCCCCAGGCCCTGCAGCAGCTCGTGCTGCAGCAGCAGCACAAGCAGTTCCAGGAGAAGCAGAAGCAGTTGCACCTCAACCAGGTGGGGGGAGAGAGAGTTAGCCAGTGATGGCACTCCACCCGTGGCTCCACACCCCTTCCCTGTGGCTCTCCCCATCGCCCACCTCTATGACCCCTCCCATGGCTCCACCCCCCGTGGCTCCCCCCATAGTCCCACCCCCCATAGTTCCCTACTTGTAGCCCCCCCGTGGCCCCTCCCATGGCTCCCCCCTGCGGAGCAGTGGCGGTAATGTAGGGAGCGTGGGTGAAGCGGTGGCGCAGGACCCACAGCAGCGGCATTGGCAGTGGGCCGCGAAACCGCCTTCAAACCCACATGACCATGGCGTCAAAGCCACATGACCCCGTAGTCAAAGCCACGTGACCCCATTGTCAAAGCCATGTGACCCCGTCCCGGCCAATGACAGCGCTGCTGCGCGTAGGCCTTGGTTTCCCAAGCGGCGGTCTGCGGGGCCCCCGGCTATGGTGCCACTGTAGTGGGATGTGATCTCCTTCACCTGGTATGCAGGAGGTCGTGGGTTCGATTCCGACCCTGACACCTGTTGTATATTTAGAGTTTGCATGCTCCTCTGACTGTGGTCGCGTGAATTTTTCTCCGGGTAGTCCGGTTTTTCCCTCCACATTTTGAATCAACATCACACGTTTAGAGTATTTGGCTACGATAAATTTCTACGTGATGATAAGCCGCTCTGTTGAGCTACCATTTGTGACGGCTAGGTCGCTTCTGAAAAAGAGCTACACAGCTCAGTGGGGCCTTACACCTGGTAAAATAGGAAAAATTGTTATTAGTTAAAATACTCTTTGGTTCTTTCGGTAAAGTCACGTAGGTAGAAAAAATAATAGATCGCGACGTTTCGATCGCAACGCAAGCAATCGCCTGATGACCAAAAGAACCAAAGAGTGGATTCCCGCGGTCACGAAAGCTTCAAATCAAGAATAGTTGAAACGGTTTAGTTCACGCGCCGCTGCATTCGATCTCACCGCGCCCGCCGCCCGCGCGGCGCCACTGCCCCCGTCGCAGCTGCTGCTGTCGAAGGCGGGCGAGCCGGTGCGCCAGCACGAGGCGCACCCCGAGGAGACTGAGGAGGAGCTGCGCGAGCAGCAGGCCATGATGCAGGAGGAGGAGGGGGCGGCCGTCGCCGACGAGGTCCGCGTCAAGCGGGAGCCCGCGGACAGCGACGACGACGAGGACGACGAGGACGACGAGGACGACGAGGTGCGCGAGGGCTCGCCCCTCGGCGGGGGAGACGGCGCTACCGCCGCCGGGGGGTTCAGCGAGCAGCAGCAGCGGCAGCAGCAGCAGCAGCGGCAGTTCCACGCGGCACTCTTGCAGCAGGTGAGTTTGTTTGAATGGTATCAGCGGTGTCAAGATCGGCCTCTGTGGAAGAGGCTCGTGAAGGACGTTGCTACTGGGCAGTTGGAGGCAGTCGCCCTCCCAACACGGGAGCGACGCTCGCATCAACGAGTGGAGCGCCGAGCGGCTAAAACGCAACGAGTTGGCACAGTGGAGGGCACAGGTGGTGCATCTTGCCAGTCATCTCATTCGGTCAACCCATGGCACCTGGGTCTATCCCGTGACCTCCTGCCAGCGGGCATTGGACACTTCATGTGGCCTTAAAGTGCACTGAGCCTGGCACAAGCAGTACCGTGCATCTGCTGTGATCTTGGAGGAGTTAAGATCACCCACTCTTGAATGTGAGACTGACCTGGTCTCTTCTCGCCCAGCTAAACCTCAGACACTTAGCTTCGGCCTATTTATCAAGCGGTGTGTGTGTATGTTGAACTTCCTCCACGTGACCCCGCAGTCAAACCCACGTGACCCCATCCCAACTAATGACAGCGGTGCTCCGCGTAGGCTTCGGTTTCCCCGAGCGGCGGTCCGTGGGCCCCCGCCGGCTACGCGCCGCCGCGCGCGATCTCGTCCTGAAGCAGTGGTGATGACGAATGGAACGTGTATGAGATATTACACTTATTCCCACGTTCTCTTCCCCGCCCACCCCCTCTCCCCGGCGCCACCCCACCCCCCGCAGCACGCCGCCCTCATCGGCCTGCCCCCCCCGCACCCGCAGCAGGCGCTGGTGCTGGAGCAGCAGCAGCTGCACCAGCTGCGCATGTACCACGCGGCGGGGATGCCCGCATGCGCCCACGCGCCCGGGCACCGGCCGCTGTCGCGAGCGCAGTCGTCCCCGGCCTCCGCCACCTTCCCCTTGCCGGCACCGCCGCCCGAAGCGCCTGTCAAGCACCGCTTCACCACCGGTACGTCCGTGCGTGCGTATGGCCAGTGAGTCCAGGCGTACGTGTGCGTGCGTGTGTGCGCGTGCATCGCACACACCGTGTCGCTCCTTTCTCCCCCACGGTTGACTCCATGAACTGCTGAATTGTTTCTCGACAACAAGGATCGGTCATATTTTGGTAACTGAAGCTATGAACTATTTATAAACTAAACTACAAGTAAACTATTTTTATTTTACCAGGTGAGGCCCACTGAGCCATATAGCTATTGTTCAGAAGTGCCCTGGCCACAAATTATAGCTCAACAATGTGGCTTATCACGTGGAAATATCTCCACATCTCGCCACTGTGGTGCTTCAACCCCCGTCTCGGCCGAACCGAGCGAGTGCCTCCGTCCTCACCGTCTCCAGCCGCCACGGCTCTCTAACCGGTGGCGGCGGCGGTGGTGCATTCCCCACCCCCCCTTCTTCCCCCCCCCGTTGCTCGTGCCAGGCCTGGTGTACGACACGCTGATGCAGAAGCACCAGTGCACGTGCGGCAACAACACCAACCACCCCGAACACGCCGGGCGCATCCAGAGCATCTGGTCACGCCTGCAGGAGACCGGCCTCGTCAACAAGTGCGAGGTGAGCGCTCGCAAGTGCGCTTACCGCTCTACCGCTTCGCCGGGCGCAGGCGTCGCTCGCAGGAGTTTCTCGTGACCGGGTGTTGTTCCCAGTTGTTGCTTTTGCGACGTTACGGCTGACGGAACTTGAGAGGGCGCATTGTGTTAACAAAATAAAACGAATACCGGCATCTCACATACATTTCTTCTGAAAATTATTACAAAACCGACTGGGCGCAATCGCCGCCCGCTCCTTGCCGCCAGTAGATCTAGCAATCCAGCTAGCCCCATGCTACAAAGCACTATCGAGCGGGTCCAGCAGTATAAGGGCGCTGACCGCCGCCGGCGCTGACCGCCACTGCCGGCGCCGACTGTTGGCACTAACCTCTGCGGGTGCCGTTGCAGCGCGTGAGGCCCCGCAAGGCGACGCCCGAGGAGATCCGCACGGTCCACTCGGAGCAGCACGCACTCCTCTACGGCACCAGCCTCTTCAACCCCCCCAAGATCGAGCCCAAGAAGATGCACGGTACCCATGAATTTCGATTTAAAGCTTTCGTGACTGCAGGGATTCATCTTCTTGGTTCTTTCGGTAAAGTCACGTAGAAGGGAAATAATAAAAATAAAACATTATAAAATAATTCTCACGACGTTTCGGCCACAACGCAAGCAGCCGTCCTCAGGTATTTTATTATGTTTATTTTTATTATTTTATTATTTCCCTTCTACGTGACTTTACCGAAAGAACCAAGAAGATGGTACCCATAAACTAAAACTATTTTCAAAAAAATATTTTGCCAAGATAAGGCCCACTAAGCTATGTAGCTCTTTTTCAGAAGCGACCTGGCCATCGCAAATGATAGCTCAACTAAGTGGCTTATGGTCACGTTGAAATTTATTGCAGCCATTGCACTCTAAACTCACGTGTCGATTCTAAACGCGGAGGCAGAATCCTGGGGGAAAATCCACGCGGCCACGGCGGGAGAGAAACGCAAACGCCAAATATACAGGCGTCAGGGTCGCGATCGAACCCACGACCTCCTGTATACCAGGCGAGATAGTTAACATCTCGCCACCGATCGATTCTTTCGCGCATGATGTTTTCCCACAACCGTGTGCACGGGAAGCGATTCTTTTCAATAACCCCCTTAACTGCCGCCAGGGGCCGCTACATCAACACGCGAGAACATTGGGAAAAGATTGAATCTAAATTGAAACGCAACCTCGATTCGTGGCAGTCGAATTGCGAGGGCTGCCAAGTAATTAGAGGCCTAGTTTGTACGTGTGGTTGAACTTCTTTTGGATTGTACATCGCCAACTTTGCTAATCAGAGTTACGGGGGAAGGATACCAGAATAGCCAGAGGGAAACCCCTGCAGAACGGGGGGGAGAACTCCACATGGCAACAAGCTTAGCAGTGTTCATTCAGACGCTGTCTTTCCGACAGCCCTGTTCTTCACCTGAGGACGGCTGCTTGCGTTGTGGCCAAAACGTCATGAGAATTGTATTTTATTATGTTTTATTTTTATTATTTTATTATTTCCCTTCTACGTGACTTTACCGAAAGAACCAAGAAGAAGGGGCAACTGAGTCGGGAATCGAACTCTCAGGGTCTTCTCGCTGCAAGGCCACCGGGCCACCCTGCCGCCCGAATCAATTCCTCTTCCCCTTAGTCTCCTGTTGTGTTCACAGCAACAATAACAACAGCAAAGCCGCCATTCGCCACCAAGTGGCGGTGTCGTCACCACGGCGCTTATGCCAGGCCAGGTGCACTTTGAGGCCACGTGACGGGACAGTCCTGCCGTGTCACGGGTTGGACTATATACTCTTAGTTCTTTCGGTAAAGTCATGTAGGTAAAAAATGAAATTAACATCAAATGATGCAGCAAATCTGGCGTTGACGGTCCCACCTGATGACGGAGACTTGTGTTGCCTCCGAAACGTCGTGATTTTATTATTTTATTTTTATTAATTTTAATTTCATTTTTTTACCTACGTGACTTTACCGAAAGAACTAAGAGTATGAATCCTTGCAGTCACGAAAGCTTCAAATCTAGAGCGGGTTGGACTGCCCGTTCTCCGATCTCTGCTCTTCCGTCCGGCAGATCTCCACGCGGACTCGCTGACCGTATTTTCCGCTGCTTTGTGCCGTGCAGGATCCCTGCCTCAGAAGGTCCTGGTGATGTTGCCGTGCGGCGGCCTGGGGGTGAGTACCGCTCGTGGGCACCGCACACCACCGCGTACCACACACCGCGTGCTACGCACACCCGCGGCCCCTGGGGGTTCGCCACCTCGCCTGGTATACAGGAGGTCGTGGGTTCGATCCCGAACGTGACGTCTGCTGTATATTTGGAGTTTGCGTGTCTCTCTCTCATCATCATCACGGTGGCTAGGAGATGATAACTACCTCGCCTGGTATACAGGAGGTCGTGGGTTCTATCCTGACCCTGACACTGCCTGCTGTATATTTGGAGTTTGCGTGTCTCTCTCTCTCTCTCATCTCGTGGTCGCGTGGATTTTTCTCCGGGTCCTCCGGTTTTTCCCTCCACATTTAGATTCGACATCGCGAGTTCAGAGTTGATGGCTGCTGTAAATGTCCTCGTGAAGATGACAAGCCGCTTCGTTGAGCTATCGTTTGCGGCCAGGTTGCTTCTCAAAAAGAGCTACATGGCTCAGTAGGCCCTACCTGGTCGAATAAAACAAAGTTTTGTAAACAGTTTATTACGCGTGTCGTCCTTTTATAGTCGGAGGGAAAGGTGAAAGCGCAGCGCTGAGAAACGCTCCACTGTTGGCAGAAGAGCCTCCACTGGAGGGAGCTCCAGTCAAGCGCGAGCTCTGTAGTCGAGGAAACGCCAGGGGGGGCAGAGGCCAGCAATGTTTTTCTGGCTGCCACGGAAATTCCACATTCCCATGGGGAAGGCTGTCTTCTCTCTACGGCGATTGTTGAAATAACCTCTCCTGAAATTGTACTCATTTTATCGATCCCAGAGGGGATGATGAGCGGATGGAGTGGAAGCTCGTGTGGAACCGGGCGGGGACCCCGTTAATGTAAACAGCTGTTTTGCCAAGCGAGCTTTGAGATTTTTCGAACCCAAAAAACAAACGAAAATGTCACCCGGGATCGCATTTCCCACGAGCGACAAGATGGCCGTCTCTCGCTGCTCTCCGCTGGGGCCCGCCGCCGTCGTCGTGAATCGTCAGCGCGGCCGGGACGGACGCGCGGACGGACTCGCGCACGAACGGGCGGTTGGACGCACAGACGGACACACGGACGGATGGACGGACACACGGGCGGGTGGATGGACGCACGAACGGACACACGGGTGGGCGTGTGGTTGACCTTGCGGGCGTGGCTGTGGCTGTGCCAGGTGGACAGCGACACCATCTGGAACGAGCTGCACTCGTCGGGGGCGGCACGCATGGCGGCCGGCTGCGTCACCGAGCTGGCGTACAAGGTGGCGGCCGGGGAGCTCAAGGTGCCAGCGAGCATCGCCTGTGTCTCTTTGTGTGTGTGTGTTTTATGCTGTCAGGGTGTGTGTGTGTGTTACTCTGTGGGGAGCGGTAGTGTAGCGGTTAGTGCTAAGCTGCGCTACAAACCAGGCGACCCGGGTTCGATTCCCGCTCACGGCCAACACCGGTGACGATTATCTGAACCGGTCCTGGGCCTCCCCTAGGTCGACTCAGCCTCACATGAGTACCTTGTGCGGTGTGTAAACATCGCCACTGGGGAGACAAAGGCGGTCGGGCGTGGTTCTGGTCACCCACCTCCTCGTGTACCGTTCCGTCTTTAAAAGGTGCTCGCTAACAGCACTTGTCCCTCCAGTCTGTTAAGGCTATATGGGGGATCATTGTCTTTGTTACACTGTCAGAGTTTGTGTGTGTGTGTTACGCTGTCTGGGTGTGCTTGTTCTACTGTCAAGGTATGTCTCTTTGTGTGTGTGTGTTTTGCACTGTCAGAGTGTGTGTGTGTGTGTGTGCGTGTGTGTTACACTCTCAGGGTGTGTGTGTGTGTTACACTATCTGGGTTTGTGTGTGTGCCGTGCCGGCCTTCATAAGTGCTACTCGCTAACAGCATTTGCCCCAATAGTCTGTTAAGGCTATATGGGGGATATTTGTCTTTGTTACACTGTCAGAGTTTGTGTGTGTGTTACGCTGTCTGGGTGTGCTTGTTCTACTGTCAAGGTATGTCTCTTTGTGTGTGTGTGTGTTCTGCACTGTCAGTGTGTGTGTTGCACTATCTGGGTTTGTGTGTGTGCCGTGCCGGCCTTCATAAGTGCTACTCGCTAACAGCATTTGCCCCAACAGTCTGTTAAGGCTATACAGGGGATATTAGTGTTACACTGTCAGTGCCTGTGTGTTCACACTGTCGGTCGGCGTCTGTCGTTTCCTCCGACGTGCAAAACTACTGAGAAATTGGCCATAGAACCCAGAGCCGAGCAGGTGTTGCGGCCTCACAAACCTCTTGCCCCCCATCTTTCGCTCGCTAGCTCACTCTCTCTCTGTCTGTGTGCGAGTCTGCGTGGAGATCTGCACGTTTGAGTGTGGCGACATTCAACGTTTCAAAGCGCAGTTTGTGAGTTTGTCGCCGCCAAAACGTTCCCCAGTGCTCCACGTAGTCCTAATGCTGCCGCTGCGTTCGTTGTTGTTGTCACCATCGTCGTCATTTGTTGTTGTTGTTCTTTTTTTAGAATGGGTTCGCGGTGGTGAGGCCTCCAGGGCACCATGCCGAGGAGTCGATCGCCATGTAATTATCACGCCCCTCGCCGACACTCGCCCACGTTTTGCCCGCCTCGCGTACCAGAGGGAAGGATAGCGAGGGGTGGGGGTGGGCGCCCTCGTGTTGTGCAGCAAATAATAATAAGACCGTCAGACCGGTTCTCTTGCGCATCACGTCGACGGCGAAGAACCCGTCGGACAAAGACGGTTCGCCGCGTCGCGCAGCGCTTTCGGAAGCGCTCCCGCGGCCGTCTGGAACCGCTCTTCTTATCGATGTTAGGAAGCCGCTGAGAACTATGCACTTTTAAATCTTCATCTAGATTGAAAACACGTTTCTGGAGAACTGCTTTTGGTGTTTTGTTTGTTGTCCTTCCTCCGCACCTTCGATTAGCGTGGTTGGCTACGCACGGTGCGAAAGAGGTTCGACCGTACGTACATCGGACGGTAGAATAATTCTAGGCTGTCACGTGACCTGCAAGGGATGATGGGAGGTGGCGACGACCCTGTGTTCACAGCCGTACCTTTTGCCGGCTAGTTGGTTTGCATTTAGTCTACGTTGTTGAACCAGGTGAGCACTCAAGAGACCAGGGGAGAGTCTCGTCTGCAAGGGTGAGCTGGGGCGTTAGTCTGCTGCCAGTAGGGGGCTATGATTGTTGCCGTGTGAGTAGTGTAACACGCGGTATAGGCTTTTGTGACCAATATTACGCACAATAACGGGTTTTTTTTTTGGGTTAGATCGAGTGAAAATATAAATGTGTCGTTAAGCCCTCCGCCGCCCGACACAGCCAAGTAGTAATCGCAAATGTTGTGGGTTTGACGACGTGTTTATATTCACACGATCTAACCAAAAAAAAATCCTCTTTTCACGTGCGAGAAATTTAACGGCATCATGTTCGAAATTGGAAAAAATTTCACCCTGGCACCGGCACCCATCGGCCTGCTCTTGCGAGTGACGTCACGGGGATCTTGAACAGCCACTGCTCGCGAGGCTGACAAGGTGCAGTCGTAGCAGCGACAGCAGTAGTATTATCATCACGGTCGATGCACACCGCCGCGTTATTAATCAGGGCGGCCGTTGGATTCGAACCACTAGCCCCCACAATAAGCCATGTCACCAGCCCAGAAATCACCTTCTGTGTGTATCATTCCTAAAAGCCAGGTTATTACTTTACGTATTGAGAAAAGATGGCCATTATTATTGATAGTTGGAGGCCATGATCGCGGTGGCGGCGACGTTTAGATTATACTCTTTGGTTATTTCGGTAAAGTGACGTAGATGAAAAATAATAAAATGAAAATAACTAAATTAAATCACGTTTCGGAGGCAACACAAATTACTCACTACAGTAATTTTGCTGCGGCTGTTCCACCTGATGATGGAAGCTTGTGTTGCCTCCGAAACGTCGTGATTTAATTTAGTTATTTTCATTTTATTATTATTTTAATTATTCATCTACGTGATTTTATCGCAAGAACCAAAGAGTATTGATCCTTGCAGTCACGAAAACTTCAAATCTAGAATGAGACGTTTAGATTGCTTACAGTATTTGGCGGCTGCTATAGATTTGCACGTGATAAGCCACTTCGTTGAGCTATCGTTTGTGATAGCCAGGTCGCGTCCGAAAAACAAGCTGATGGCTCAGTGGGCGTTACCTGGTGAAAATAAGATAACAACATTTTCGTTATTTACTTAACCTGTCCTATACTTTGCACTCCTTTCGTGTTTTTCGTATTGTTCGTTGTTGTAACGCTCTCACCCCGCGGCCCCCGGCCTGGACATCTGTGAAAAAGATCCTTGACAGCCCATCGCGGATTCCCTCCTGCTGTCTGGACGGCGGTTTCCGATTCTGAGCGACGCGCGTGCGGCCTGCTCTGTCCTCCGCAGGGGATTCTGTTTCTTCAACTCGGTGGCGATCGCCGCCCGCGTGCTGCAGCAGAAGCTCAACGTGAAGAGGGTGCTCATCGTCGACTGGGTGAGTGTCTGGCAAGCGGCCGCTCCAGCTCGCAAAGAGAAAGGTCCCCCCCCCCCCCGTCCCCACCCCCGTGCGTAGCCTGCGACGGACTGTTGGGGCGAAGTGCCGTTAGCGAGCGGCGCCTATGAAGGCCGGCACGGCGCATGGGAAGCGTGGAGAGGGGTGGCCAGCACCACGCTCAGTTGCTGAGCCGATTTGAAGGATGCCCAGGGCCGGTTTAACTAATCATCGCTGGTGCTGTCCGTGAGCGGAATCAAACTCTGGTTTGCCGGGTTCGTAACACGGTGCGCTAACCACTGCGCCACCGCTCCAGCGCACAGATCCAGCATGAGCCATTCCGGCTCGCTCACTCACTGACACGCACACAGCCATGCACACTCACTCGCACACAGCCATGCACATTCACTCGCACACAGGCATGCACACCCACACATACACACGAAGATCCCCGCATAACCAGGCCTTAGTTTCAGCCGGTTTTGTTCGGTTCGGCATTCCCGGAATAATATTTACACACCCCTCCACACCACATCCGGTAAACCTCTCTTTATAGCTGCAGGCTGCTAAGTCACGAACCTGTTCAAGCCTAGCAGCAACCTGGACGCTATTCGGGTCACCTTTCCCGCACTTCACCGCCTGCCGGCAACCGACGTCGTCCCGAGTTCTCCCCGTCGCGGGCTGCCACCCACGCACCCCGAGCTCCCGAACTCTGCCGGGCGGGCGCCTTGCGAGTCAAAATCCTGGCCCGCCCAACGTAGGACAACCCCGCCTTACCCTCCTCCAGGCAGACTCATAACACGCAAAAAAAGCCGCGCCAACCCTCGTCTGCGGACGGACGCGTCGGCGGTTCGCCGGGTCGGCCGCGAACGGGGCACCCGGATAGCGGACGGGGCGGACGAGGGGAAGTGACGCTCGCCGTCGTTTTGTGTCCGCAGGACGTCCATCACGGAAACGGGACGCAGCAAGCGTTTTACAGCGACCCCAGCGTCCTCTACGTCTCCCTGCATCGGCACGACGAGGGCAACTTCTTTCCCGGCAGCGGAGCCGCTGACGAGGTGCGAAGGCTGTCCACCGCTCGTGCTGTCACTCGTCAACGCTCGCCCACTTGGGCGTTCAAAACACTCGCCCCACTGACGGTTAAAACACTCACCACTGACATTCAAAAGAGTCAGCACTGACGTTTAAAATACTCACCGCTGACGATTAAAACACTCACCACTGGCGGTCAAAACACTCACCGCTTACGTGTGAAACACTCACCACTGAAATTAAAACACTCACCACTGAAGTTCAAACACTCACCACTGAAATTAAAACACCACTGACATTTGAAGCAACTCACCACTGAAATTAAAACACTCACCACTGACTATTAAAACACTCAACACTGACATTTGAAGCACTCACCACTGAAGTTCAAAACACTCACCACTGACGATTAAAACACTCACCACTGACGTTTAAAACACTCACCCCACAACACAGTCATCATAAACATAGCCCCAAGAGGATACAATAGACAACGTTTCAGGCAATGGCCCTTCTCTATAGTACACAAATAGAGAGGTCAGAGAGTTACTGTGATAATAAGAGTCGCTATTTGTGCTCGTACACTCGCCACCAATGCAGTTGTTCCCAAGTAATTAAGTATCAATCGTCGTCGTTAAGATCATCACCACCACCGCTACTACCGTTACGGCCACCATCACTCTCACCGCCGCCACCACCGTTGCTGCTACCGCCACTAGCGCCACCACCACCACCGCTCGCCCCCTTGCCGGGGTCTCTGACCACCTCGTGGCCGTGCCCGTGCGCAGGTGGGCGTTGGTGCGGGCGAGGGCTTCAACGTGAACATCGCGTGGACGGGCGGCCTCAGCCCCCCCATGGGGGACGCCGATTACCTGGCGGCGTTCAGGTAACGCTCGCCCCCCCGCAGCGGCCGTCTCGGGCACCGCCCCCTCCCCCCGCACCGCCCCCATACGGCAACGATGCACGGCGCTTGCGATGATCGGACGGTGGTTAAACTTAAACGTTTTATTTTACCAGGTAAGGCCCCCACTTAGCAATGTACTGTGTAGGTCGTTTTCAGAAGCGTCCTGGCCACAAATGATAGCCCAACGAAGTGGTTTATTGTCATGTGAAAATGTTTACCAGCAGCCAAAGACTTTAAACGCGTGACGTTGATTCTAAATGTGGAGGGAAAATCTGGAGGACCCGGGGAAAAATTCACGCGACCACAGGGAGAGAGAGAGAGAGTTACACGCAAACTCCAAATCTACAGCAGCAGGCGTCAGGGTCGGGATCGAACCCACGACCTCCTGTATACCAGGCGAGGTAGTTAACATCTCCTAGCCACCGTGATGATGATGATGATGAGAGAGAGACACGCAAACTCCAAATCTACAGCAGCAGGCGTCAGGGTCGGCATCGAACCCACGACCTCCTGTATACCAGGCGAGGTAGTTAACATCTCCTAGCCACCGTGATGATGATGATGAGAGAGAGAGAGAGACGCAAACTCCAAATCTACAGCAGCAGGCGTCTGGGTCGGGATCGAACCCACGACCTCCAGCACCACGATGTAAGTTGTTGTTGAACAGCTGAATCTGGCCGTGACCCCCCCTAAGCGTGGCTTGTTGTTTGCCTGTTGCGTCATGTGCTGCGCCCCCCCCCCCCCCAGGACGCTCGTTATGCCCATCGCCAACGAGTTCTCCCCGGACGTGGTGCTCGTGTCCGCCGGCTTCGACGCCGTCGAGGGCCACCCCGCGCCGCTCGGCGGGTACAACGTCACCGCCAAATGTACGTGCCACGCCCGCACGCGACGCCTGCCGTTGGCGCGGTCCGCCGCGTTACTTGTTGCGTCACAGCTGTAGCAGCAGCAGCAATATCATCATAATCATTAGTTGCAGCAGCCAATATCAGATGATGCAGAATCAGCAGCAGCAGGGACATCATTGTAATTTGAAACAACAGTAGTATCATTATCAGCAGCAACAGCAGCAATATCATCATCATCAGTTGCAGCAGCCAACATCAGACGACATAGAATCCTCAGCAACAGCAGCAGGGGACATCGTTATAATTTGAAACAATAGTAGAATCGTCATCGGCAGCAGCAGCAGAAGCAATATCATCAGCAGCAGCGATGTCAACAGCCAGATCGTCTTCGTCATCATCAGCCGATGTGATCAATGCCGCTCCAATCGGTGCTCATCGACACCATTGTCGTAGTCGTCGGCAATGGCGTTGAGGTTCGGCGTCGCCGCCACGCGCCGCCCGCCGGAGCCAGCGGCGAGGGGTCGACCTTGTAGAGCGGTGTTCTTCGTTGCCAGGCCCGCGGGCCACTGGCGGCCCTTGGTGGCCTTTAGTGCGGCCCTCTCACGTGCACCCCCCCCCCCCCCCCCCCCCGACAATACACAAAAACACCCCCCATCATCATCGTGCTGCTGTCAAATCCCCATTCGTTTCAAATGCGTGGCGGCCCTTCTCTTACTGACGATGTCTTATCGGCGAAAGTGTCCCCCGCCCCAACCCACCCCTCTGAAAATGAGTGAAAGACACTGCCGGAGACGCTCGGTAGATGCAGCAAGAGGGGACTTGTCCCTCCCGCCCATTTCACCACTCGGCCGCTCTCTCCGCACCCACCCACCCACCCACTCCTCACCCCCCACCGCCCACCCCCTCCAGGCTTCGGTTATCTGACGCAGCAGCTGATGACGCTGGCGGGCGGCCGCGTGGTGCTGTCGCTGGAGGGGGGGCACGACCTCACGGCGATCTGCGACGCGTCCGAGGCCTGCGTCTACAGCCTGCTGGGCAGCGAGGTGAGCAGGCGTCGTAACTTCCCCGCTAGCGCGAGCCGGTGGGGGGGGTAGGGGGGTGGGGTGGGTGGCGGGGGTGGCGCTCACCCTCGCCTGTATTCACATCGGACCACTGATGGAACGGTCACAGCGGGTGGCTATGACCACGGTGCGAAGGAATTTTAACGTACATACACGCGTCAAGGTGCTGCCCTGCGTTGTGCCTGCTCGCGCTCACGCTGGCGCTAGTGGCCTCCGCTGTTAGCTTTCGTCTATCCTAGTTCTCGGTCATGTGTTTTTGATGTACGTACGTGGAACTTCCAATTCGCACACCGTACGTAGCCAGGCGTGCTAAGCGGAGGTGCGGATGTGAAGTAAGCGTCCGTGCTGGTGCGCGCGTGGAACAGATGGAGCCTCTGTCCCAGGAGGTCGTTCAGAAGAGACCGAACCCGAACGCCGTGGCGTCGCTCGAACGCGTCATCCAGGTTCAGAGTGAGTGCACCCAGCCACATTCCCCCTGCACGCACAAAGACAAAGATCCCCCGTGTAGCCTTAACAGACTGTTGGGGGCAAGTGCTGTTAGCGAGCGGCACTTATGAAGGCCGGCACAGCACATGCACCCAAACACACGCACACACCAATACACACATGCACACACGCACACACCAACACACACGCACACAACCGCCCCCACACATTACCCCTAGACGCACCTAGACCAGGCAACCACCAGGAGGGGCTCCTCGGGATGCAGGTCGCCCACCACTGCTCTGCAGCCACCGCCTTATTGTCGCCCTGGTGGCGGTGGCGAGCGCCTCGCGCATACCCCAATGCCTCCGCGTCTGACTGATCCACCAACACCCCCCCAACCTCCCCGTGTAAAGTTCGTAATGGACACAGCACGCACACCTGGCTGACCCGGCTCGAGTATATACGCGCACGTGGGCGCATCTGTGCGTGCGCCAATGCGTGCGTCTGTGTGTGTGTCCGTGCGTGCGTGCGTCTGTGCGCTGCGTGCACACAGGCAAGTACTGGCGCTGCCTGCAGAGGCTGGCGCCCACGGTGGGGTTGTCGTTGCTGGAGGCGCAGAAGCACGAGAAGGAGGAGACGGAGACGGTGACCGCCATGGCCTCCCTCTCCGTGGACGCCACGCAGGCGGCCGCCGACACCGCCGCCGCCGCCGCCGACGACAAGAGGTGAGCAGTCCTTCCGTTTGTTGAGTCCTTCCTTCATTCCTTCATTCCTTCATTCCTTCATTCCACGAGACCACGATGTGACGTCACGATGCCCTGCCGATGCAGGTGTGTTCCAGACGTGCGGTGATGGCGGCGGCGCGCGCGGTGGGGTAAAAACGTGGGTGACGCGAGAGCCTCTTTCAAGACATCCGATCGGCGTGGAAGAGTAGACCAAATACCCTGTAGAGCCCCCTCTAGTGGGGTGGCGGGGGGGGGCGTCCCTTCCGCCAGCGGTGGGGCAGGTACTACGATGATATTCTCACAACGCCGGACGTTTTGGCTGCGTGGTGGTCCCACAGTTTGTTTGTGGTTGGCAGTTGGAGGCCTGGTCCAGAGGGGAAGCTTGACGGCTCTCAAACCCATATTTTTGTCTCCTGTAAACCCCCCCGTCGTTGAATTTAGTTTCCACTGAATTTACCCCCCCACCCCGCCACACACCGTGATCTGACCCATCGTGGTTCTGAGAAATACATGCATGAATAATGAACGTCAATATATTAACCGATTGTCCATTTTGTGAGGGATCCCTAACTAGGTGCCAACCGCAAGCGAATAAAAAACATTAATTCAACGGACGCTCTGCACGCGTGACGTAATTTGTCCGCGCTCGCTGCTTAGTCTGGGAAACCCTGGGTTACCATACGCATTCAAATTCTACCGTAGTTATTTTACATGGGCAGATTCGTACAACGTGATCATTCACCAATGACTCTCGCGCATGATATCACGTCACGCATTTATAAATCCTCTCACGTGTACCCCCTTGGGGCATTGCCGCGTAACCCCCCTCGTGGGGGTCCACGTACCCCCCCTACCCCCCACCCCCCGCTTGAGAACCACGGCCGTAGAAGAACGAGCGTCGGCGCCATAATCAGCGACGTGCAACATCGTCGTCGAGAATCACTCTCCTCTCGCGATTCCCAACGCTCTCTCTGGCGCGATTCCTCCCCCCTTCTCTCGTGATTCCAACCTCTCCTCTCGCGTGTGTCCACCTCCTCCTCCTCTAGGCCGGTGGAGGAGCCCATGGAAGAGGAGCCGGCGATGTAAGCGACGGACCCGGTGCGTTTGGATTGCGGCCGGCACGGCTCGCTCCACCGAGCGTTTGGCAGCGCCATCCCAACCCTCCCCGCCCTCCTCCCCCCACCCCCCTGCTGACGGAGGGGGTCAGGCGATCTTCGGAAACGATGGGGGGGGGGGGGGGCGTGCGTGCGTGTGCCCGGCGACAGTCGCTCCGTGTGTGTCCGTACGATGGTGCGGCCCAACGGCCCGCCCGGAGGGGGGGCCGCGTGACGCTGGCGATTCGGCGAGTCTGAAACACGCCGCGGGCGCGACGCGATTATCCCACACCCCCTCACACCAGTCGCTCGCTAGAGCCGTGTCTTAGAATGAGTCCGTTGCTCGCCGTTCCTTTCCTCTCGTTGATTTTTTTTTTACATGCCTTCACCTGTTTTGTTGTATAGAGTTTCCTTAGTAGGCCAATTTCTTGAGCTTAAGAGTATAAGTCGTTTGCGGCAAAACGACCGAGACACTTTTTTTTTTCATACTGTATAAAATCTAGTTCGTTCTTTTTTTAAAGTTGTTGTTGTTGTTTTTGTTGGGGGTGCGGGGCGGGGCGGGGCGGTCTCGGTGGGGGGGTCCCGGGTGGGTCGGGCGCGCGTGGCGCGTGGGGGGGGGGTCTCAGAGCGACGATGGGAAGCGGTCGTGCACGTGAATGCTCTCGGGGGGGCGACATCGTCGTCCGGTCGATGCGCTCTCGCGGCGGCGTGGAAGTGAAACTTCTGAGGAGTGCCTTTTTTGAGACGGGAATGTCTGCGTTGACACTGCCTCGCTGAACGCCGATTTAAAATGCGTCGTCTTGGCCAGAGGACACACGCCGCACCATCTCCACTTTGTCGTTGTCGTCGTTGTGGTTACCGTGTGTTATTTTGAATTCCTTTAACGCTCCAGAATCACCAGCAATTGTTCTTATTCTGTTCCAAAGTAGGCTTTTGTAAGAATGACACAAAATGCAAAGTATGTTTGTTTAAAGTAGATTGTGTTCTCTGTGTATTCCTCATCTTAGCAGGGTTAAGCTTGGGTAACGGTGATCTTCTTTTAAATGAGATATTTTTTACTCTCTTTTGCAGGTCCTACTTGCCTGGGTATTGGTATTAACATTTAACAGTTTCACTCTTTTTGTATGCTACTTATATTTGATCTATTTATTCCTTTCCCTATTGATTTTAAGAAATAAAACACCGTACTTCAGAGTATTTTTCCTTTCCTTGCAAAATGTTTATATCTTGCTCAAATAGGAAGAGACGTAAAAAAATAATTACATTTTGTTTATAACGTACATGCGTTGAATGACCAAGAAAATATCGCTGAGAGCTGTATACCATATTGATACCTTAGTGGCTAAGTTTTACAAAAAACTGAGTTGTCTTTTCCCCCCTCCTCGTGTTCTCGCTGTTGTACATTTCTTTCTTAAGTAGTTCACAACGTTTTAAATCCTGGGCTCACGTACACGTGTGTTGGTGTGTACGTACGTGCGTCGAACTTCTTTCGCACCGTACGTAGCCAAGCGTGCTCATCGCAGGTGTATATAACAGGGCAGCGGCGGCGTGGCGACCGCAGCATCGGTGAGGATCGGTATCTGAACTTCACCCGGTCACGCCCCTAGGTCAGCTGGGCCTGAAACGACCACCGTTGGTGGTGGTGATGGTTACGGTTATCGGCAGCAGCAATGGGGGAACGATGTGTGTGGTCCTTGCCCTGGACACAACAACACGTGTGCCCGTTCCGGCCTCAGTGTGCTCACCGCAACCACCGCCTCTTTGCCCCGGCGCCTGTAATAAGGATAACCAGGATTTTCTTTTTTATATATATATTTATGTATATACATGCATATTCATATAGAGCACAGGTTATTGCTGGATGTGTCGGTGGTGTCATGGGCTTTCATGAATACGCTTTGAGGTTTATCTCCGTTACGTGTATGTACGGCACAGTGGCATCTGAATTCCAAATCCACAGTTTCGATTTAACTCTCGCAACTTGTGTTCCTCCCGGCCATTCCTGAAGGCCACGCACAAAAGCCTCTTCTCGATCTTGTAAAATAAGGTCCTTTCGTTTATCTGTTTTATTTGTACACGATAGTAGCAGGAATCAAAGCTACTACACCCGATCCCGTTCATTTACCGGTGCCTCTATGGAAATGTGCGCCCCACGAGTTTCGTGGGAAACGCACGCACACGCGCGCACACACGCACACACGCGCACATTCACCCACACGCATGCACGCCGCTCAGCGCGTGTCGCTTAGCATAGACCGCGAGCCGGCCGAAAGCGTGGGTTCACAGTCAGAACCTTTATTTATACTGGAGAAATCTGATGAGCTGCAAAGCTCTTTCATTGTCACAGATGTCCAGTACAGTTACGTCAACGCGCTAAACGTCAATCGACCACGGACCGCGTCCGTGGCGCCCCAACGCTCTGCCGCGGTCGGCACGGCAACCGCCTCCACCCTCCGTCTACCTTCTGTCAAACTCCCTCTTCCTTTTTTTGAAAACGGTAAACGTCGAAGTTTGTGGCATTAACCAAAATTAGCGAGTCCTACTGTATTTAGTTTTTGCGTCATTCAACACCGCCCGGTTTAACAATCAAAATGTATCCTCGGCAAGAGGAGGCCTTCTCTTAATGGGTTACGCGTGGGGGGGGCGGGCATCTAGATTTGAGAAGCGGTCACTTAAGTTTTCTAAATCTGAAAAAAAAAATGTACTGCCCCCGTCACCATTAAAATCCATGTCACCGAACTCTTTTTTTCTTTTGTGTGCGTGTGCTGTACGGCTTTGCTGCATCGAGCCGCGATCATCTCGCGGTGTCGGACGGAGTACAGCGACGGGCGTGAGAGGGGGAACGCCGCGCGATCATTGGGGAAACGTTGTAATTTGTCGAGGTGGTTAAAAAAAAACACATTTCTCACCGGTGTTTCCGATTGGGCGGCACAAAACAAACCTGTTGTGCGTTTTTGGCAGCACATGAGAGCCGTGTGCGGCGTGCATTGTAAGTCCCCCACGGGGGGGGTGGGGGGGGTTCTAACCTACCCATGGACCCGTTACTCTACGCTGAGAATGGATGGCGAAAACGGCGCGTTTGTTTTCCTTCTGTTCACTGATGACAGACGTAATTCTATAGGAAGCGGTCGTGGATATGAAACATATTGTTTTAAGAGGTATTTTTGAAAGAATATATATTTTGAAAGTTGATGATGATGATGATGATAATTAAAAAGAGGTTGTAATGTGTTGTATAAAAAAAATACCAAAAACTAAAAAAAGCACCCTCGTTTCACAAAATCTTTAACGGTGTCCAAATTCGAGCGTTACGTCACTTGATGACACTGTACTTATTGCAAACCTTGCCCGCGTCCTGCCGGGAAACATCCTCTCAGTCACAACCAAAAGACTCTTACATTCTGTGTGCGCTGAGCTGATGCTATAGGCTTTGGATAGTTTTAACTTGTTTAGTCTGTCCGATTAAAATGTTGGTGTTTTACTGTGTTTTCAAACTGTATCTTTCTTTTTTTCTATCCCACAAGTTTGCTCGTTTTGTAAACTGTAAAACGACCCGATTGTTAACGATTAAAATTTTTATTTTCAATGTAATTGCTTTTGTCGCCGTTCCGTGTTCACCGCGTTGGTAGTTTGCCCATTGCCTTGCGTAGCTTCTGACGGTCGCGGTGTCCACTGAAAATAACCCCGACCGCAACCGGGTACACTTGAGCTGACATCGTCTTGCTCGGTTGGTGGATCGCGCGCACGGGGAATAGGGGAGGTTGTTGCAGAGCGCTCTGTCTCTCTCTCTCTGCGGAGTTGGACTTGCGCACGCTGGGATAGGTGTCGGAGATGGTGTCCTTGAAAATGGCAAGTGATCCGTTACGCAGGTGACTTGCCGGGCCTGGCAGTCGTGTCAACTCGGTGATGTAGGTGCGCACGCTCTAAACTTGCGTTGCCTCATTCGAACAACGTTCGGAGAAGCTGGGGGGGCGGGGAGCCTTGTGTTTTTGAATAACACATTTGCATTCGAACTGGCTTCTTTAAGAAGACGTTGGCTCGAAGCTTGTCATTAAAAGGAACGCTGAAAAATCCGTCGTCAAACGTCACAACGTGATCTGGTGTGGACAATTTCACGGCGGATAAAAAAAAAAAAGCGAAACGGTCTTTCTCAAAGGTGAATTAAAATAGTTGCGAGTTGCTGGTGCCGTGAATCCCGGACGTCGGGTGCCGAAACGGCCGTTGGGGGCTTTGCCCGCTAGCGCCGGATTTTAACGGAGGCCTATCCGAGAGGGAGGATCGGCGTTCGAAATCGCCGCGTGTACATAATTCCGCTTGCGTGTAAAGCAAATAGATTGTATGTTGAGAATCACTTGACACGTTTCTGGGATGCTGTTCTCTTGCGTCGGTCCGTGCCCCCCACTGCAGTGCCGAGGGCTGGTCGGCTCAACGTAATTCCCAACCGGATCATTTTATGCAATAATGCGCCCTGTACGTAATGCACACATTCTATTTTGCTACACTCCTATCAAGGCGACGTCGAGGAATATTTTCTTTCTCCTTAAAATTCACGGAGGCAGCCTCTCGGTATCCGTCACGTCCGAGTTAAAGATTCGCGAGCGTTTGTGTCCGTTTTCTGTTCTGCACGTTGAAAATAAAACGAAACGGAAAAAACAGAAATCCGTCGGCAGGTCAAGTTCAAACTCGCTACCCTGTGGCACTCCATCTGTCAAACGTCTCGTGCGGCCGTGGCGCCAACACTCAAAAAGCTTTCAAGAATTCTAGATTTGAAGTTTTCGTGACTGCAAGGATCCATACTCTTTGGCTCTTTCGGTAAAGTCACGTAGGTGAAAATAAAATAAAAACATTTTAATAAACTAATAAAATACAAATTTAGTTATTATTGGTTTATTATTTTAAAATAAAATCAACTAATAATAAACTAAAAATTTAGTTATTTTTATTTTATTCTTTTATTTTCACCTACGTGACTTTACCGAAAGAACCAAAGAGTAAGCATTCGCGAAGCGCTACTTTGAGTGAGCTCTGTAAGAGTGCTTGTAAACACAACAGTCGGTCTTGACTTAAAGCTTTCGTGACTGCAGGAATTAATCTTCTTTGGGTCTTTCGGTAAAGCCACGTAGATCGAAAAAAAGAATAAAAATATCACGACGTTTCGATCGGAACACAAGCAATCGTCATCAGGTCATCAGGTGACGATTGCTTTTGTTGCCATCGAAACGTCATATTTGTATTATTTTTTCTATCTACGTGGCTTTACCGAAAGACCCAAATAATTTTCAATTCCACGTTTTCTCGCCGTTCGCTGCGTACGACAAAGCGAAAGTTTTTGTCTCGTCCGCGATGTCCAGTGTGGAGCGGGGTGCCCGCGCGTGAGATTGACGCACCCGGCAAAGAGTTTCCACCCCGCGGCGTCTGTGTCAGAGGTCGCAAACGGGTTTTGATTCCTTACCCGTACCCGGCCGCACCAGGGTCGCAAATGGGTAACCGTACCTGTTCCCGGCCGGGTACGGGTACCCGTTCCCTACCCGTACCCTACCCGAAATGAGTGACAAACGGTTACTCACCGGTGACTCACGGCCTACCAGTACCCGTACCTGGCCGCACCAGGGTCGCAAACGGCTACCCGTACCCGGCCGGGTACGGGTAGCCGGGTATCGGGTAGGGTACAGGTACCCGGTTGCGACCTCTGGTCTGTGCCAGCGAAAGGGGGTGTCGGGCCGATAAAGCTGCCGTCTCGTTTTGAGTCCATGTCCAGTTTTACAAAGCCAGGCCCAGCCTGTGTGGGGGTGCAGCTGCTGCGGCGTTCTGCTCGTTGCTCAACCCGTCGCGGTCGAACCGTTCTCTGCACTTCCAGGTCTGCCCTGTCCGTCCTTCTCTCTCCCAAAGAAATTATGCGAGTCCCAACGTAATTTAAAGTTACGTGACCAGGTTATCGAACGTTTCTGGCGTGAAAATTCTGAAATCGGCATCTGCCGAGCGTTTTGGGGGTGTTCGCGTATAAAAATAACTGTCCTGGCCGCGGATGCGGTAACGAATTTATCTTGCGATGAAAATTGTGGTCACAGTCGCCGCCCCACGGCATTTCATTTGCCACGGCATTCTTTTGCAACGTGAGACTTGTGCTGTGCTCGTTAGCGCGGTTCCCTTCTTTGGCCACTTGAATTTAATCTCAATATAAAATTTAACGTTTTGTGACTTAGATCCGTTTAAAATTTGTGAATGTTTTCTATCGTATGTAATCGAACGAACACTTGGACGTGCAGAGGATGAATTTGGGAGAGGGTCGCTGATCCAACCGCTGCTAAACTGGAAATGATCTCATTATACTGACATCTAACTTCATGTCCTACAAGACCCCCAATTGGCACTACGGGCTAACTGTGTTCCTGCGCCAGAGTGTGCCCCCCACGCGCCACTCTCACCGAACGATGATTTGTTCAACTTTTTAAACGTCCACTTAGTGGTAATTATACCGGCTAATTTCAATTTATTTGGCCGATACTTGCATTGGCAGTGGTGTGCACAAGCACGCACACACACCCAAAAAAACCTCAACGCATTCGTCAATAACGCCTTTGCCTTAAAAGCCGAAATATATAACAGACGACGTTTCGGGCAGTGAGCCTTCTTCACATCCGAGGCCACAGAGAGAGAGGCACCTCCGGTCTCTCTACGGCTCATTTCGAAATGCCACCACCGGTGATGGCCGTCGTTCACCGTTACTCGACACATCGTCGTGCAAGCGACGGGACGGCACGTTTTGGACGGTGGCACACTGGCGTTCTTGGCCCTGATCAAGGCCCACGGCCCGACTCGTTTGCCCAGCGTTGGCACTGACGCCCCGTGACGATCTCGTGTTCCCCGTTTAACTTTTAACTCGTCGCCACGAGTCGCATGTCCGTGGTTTCTCTTGCAGAAGCTCCGCCAACTGCGCCCCCCCCCCCCCCCCCCCCCCCCCCCCACTTAATGATGGACACAGGCTGGCCCCTTCCCACCAATTGGAACTTTTCGGCGATCGATTTACAAAGGCGGTCGGTTCTTCTTGGTTCTTTCAGTAAAGTCACGTAGAATGGAAATAATAAAATAATTAAAAGAAAACATTTTTTTTTCCATTCTATGTAAAAATAAAACATAATGAAATATGTATTTATTTTATTTTATTATTTCCATTCTACGTAAAAATAAAACATAATGAAATATGTTTTTTATTTTTATTATTTTTTTTATTTCCATTCTACGTGACTTTACCGAAAGAACCAACAAGATGAATCCCTGCAGTCACGAAAGCTTTAAATCGAAATTTAGCGGTCGGTTCTGTTCGTTGTGTGGCTCGATGGACGCATCTTACTCGAGTTGCGAAAGTTTAAAAAAATTGGTTCAAAACCAACGGCGCGGGGTTTTAATCGGACGGCGACATTCTCGCTTGCGGCAAAGCTAAAAAAAAAAATTTGGCCGGTGACCTTGAAATGCGTCTCTCCTGAGTCTTGCTTTGTTCCACACGGTGAGCGTTTCGTCTCTTCAAACGCAGCCTCGGTGTGGAAGAGGTTGGCCTCTCAAACCGTGTTACGTTCGCGTAATCAAAAGGCGGAGAGCAATCGGACGTTCATAAGTGCTTTTCGAATCGGCGGATGGATGTAAAAACAAAAACTTTTCAATGTAGAAAGCAGGTGATTGTGCGCGGTAAACAGAGGATGGGAAACGGTATTAAGCACACAGAACAGCAATATGGGTGCGTACCTTGTGCGTGAGAAAGCGCCTCGCTGCGGGCGTTGTGGTGAGTGTGTGCTGGTGGGCCCTTGCGTGGACCCAGGCGTGTGTGGCGTCGCTGTCTTATCGATGTCTTATCGATGTCTCGGGCGAGTGGCCTTTTTGCCGCGGCCGTCACACGCGGAGAGGTCTGCTGTCACGTGTGGGCGGCTGTGGGACGCAACAGTACGGAGAGAGAACTCAACCCACCCACCCCCCTCCCCACTCAGATCAGTCTCCCGTGATGTACAAAAGAAAATAAAAAAAGAAATATAATTTTTATCACGGTTTGGTGATTTTGTTCGTTGCTGCCACTTCATTCACCTCGCTGATCTCGTCACGGAGCATAAACCATCATCCTCGCAGCGGCTTTCGGCCGCGGGCCATCGCGTTTTCAGTTGCGCTTCTGCGGCCGTCTGGAACGCTCTCTTCCTTCCGATATTAGGAAGCCACTGGGAGCTATGCACTTTAAAATCATCTACATTGACAAACTCATTTCTTTAGAACTGCTTTTCGTGTTTAGTTTGTTGTCCTTCCCCCGCACCTCCGATTAACACGGTTGGCTACGTACGGCGCGAAAGAAGTTCAACGTACATTTTATCATGGGTCACCTCATTCAGATTTGTATGGCGACTGTGTAGGCTTTCACAGGTCGCGCCTGCCCGGTGCGTGCACCGTGTATTCGGGGTTGTACCGGCTGTCGATCGGTATGTCCGACGTTCCGCTCCACGTGCTGGGAGCTGAAGAACGATCGGGTGTCTCTTGAAGAAGCTCCCAGCACGTGCGAGAGCGACATGTGGGGGGACATCGTGCCGGACAGCGTGTGGCACAAGGACGACTTG